AAATATTCTAGGAGATGCATCATTTTTCGAATTCAAGCATCTCTCCAAAATCTTATGGATTGATAAAGCTGAAATAAGGAATAATACTGGAAGGTTGTTCAATTTCATTCCTAAAATACCTTAAAGTGATCTACTACAGTTAATCAATGTAACAAACACTATTTTTTTAGGAAACTATGGTAGAATATCATCACTAATATTAGTGAAACCTTATGCAAAAATTTCAATGTCAGGTATTTCATTTAAAGAAAATTATGGATTCGAGAGAGGATCAATAATTATGATTTAGGGTTTAAATTCAAATATACTAGTAGCAAATAGTAAATTCTATAATAACTATGGATACCATGGAATATTATTCTCTTAGTTAAATGGAAATATATCAATCAAAGATAGTGCTTTTGTTGAAAACTTTTCTCTAATCGGAGGAGTATTGTTTGTATAAAATGATGGAATAGCTTAACTCATTAATTGTAATATTACAGAAAATAAGGCTGCAATTGCAAGCATAATTTATTCGATAAATTCATAAGGAGTTATCCTATTAAGTGGTGGATTAATTTCAAGAAATTTAGCTAGAAAAATGGACCTTAAATATATATAATATACTATTGATTAATCTGATTTTTAAGAATATTTCGAATTTATTTTGCAAAAATATAACACTTTAAATGTTGATCAGTAATAAAATTACGGAATTCAGGTCATAAAAGGTACTATTGCTTTTGATAATAAACTTTAGATATTGAATCAAACTTCTCTTATTTAAAGTAAATCATAATCAGTATTGAGTTTAAAATAATTTACGATCAAGGATATAAATAATCAAGAAACACAGTTGATTTTAATAGATGAAACTTTTTTAGAAATTTAAAATCTTACATTAACTAATATAATAAGTCAAGACAGTTTCATCTCAATAAGCTCTAACTCAATGCTATTGATAACAAATTTAATTGGCAATAACGTAAATTGTCAATTATTGAATTCTTAATCTTCTACAATTAATCTCAATAATATTTCCTTTGAGCGAATAAGCCTAATTGAAAAATCTCAAAGCTTCATTGAACTTAAATTGACTTAAGCTATTTTTGAAAATATTGAAATTACTAATATTAAAAGCTTAATAGAAAACTACTATCTATTGGGAGCAAGTGATAGCTCATTAGTAGTAAAATAAATGAAAATATATGATTTTAACATTTAATTGCTCAAAATCCTTATGACAAAATCATACTTGACAGAAATAAATTTTAGCAATGGTATTAATTTAAGCCAATTGGGTCTAGCAATAAATGCTATCGATTCCAATATTGAAATAATATAAAGTCGATTTGAAGATCTTAAATCATTAGGTGGTTCTTCAATATTACATAGATCTTCTCATTAAGAAATTGCTGTGTATAATTTATCATTGATTAAATGCAATTTTACTCGAGGAATAGCCTTGGAAAAAGGAGGATTTATAATCAGTGAAGGCTCAAATCTGAATATTAAGGATTCAATTCTAGAATACGGTTAAGCTTAAAATTACGGTGGTGCTATATTCCTCAAATGCTCTCATTTAAGCTCTTCAAGTAAGATTAATTTAATTTATATTAATTACTAAATAAAGGATGTAATTATGATATCTAAGCCAATAAATTAATTGGAAATCAGGCTGGAAATTCAGGAGGTGGAATATTCTATGATTTATATAGACCTTTAAATCTAGAAAATAATCTCTACTTCAATAATAACGCATAATATGGGAATGATTTTGCTTCATATGGCTATAAACTAAAAATATTGAAATATGATGAAGCCTATCTAAGGTAGTTAATAAGTGGAGGACTAATCGACAGTAATTCATTTCAGTTGGGAATATTTGACCAAGATTAATAACTGATAAATACAGACAATACTAGTTAGCTAATTGTATCCTCATTTAACGATGGCATATCAATCAGTGGGAACACTTTATTTGTAGCTGTGAATGGCATCTTTGATATTAAGGATATACGTTTTGTAGGATAACCTTCATAGGAATTCCAAATCAAAGCCTTAACTTCTAATGGAATTAATTCATAAAGCATTAAGTTATTTGATTAGAATTTCGATCCAACACTAAAAATTAGCTTGAAATTTAGGTAACATAATATCATAATTAATAATTTAGAGAATGCATACCTGGAGAGGTACTTTTAGATGGTAAATGTTTTCATTGTATAAAAGGTACATATTCTCTCTCTATCCAAGATTAAACATGCAAGCCATGCCCACCTCATATGAAATGCGATGGAGGCAATTTAACAATGGTTGACAGTAATTTTTGGAGAAGCAGCACCAATACCATATAAGTATTTCAATGTCCTAAAGTTGATGTCTGCTTGTAATTTAATATTTTAATCATTTCAAAG